GCTTGCCGGGGCCGCCTGCTTGAAATAAAGCCCCCCTTCCCCATCCCCTACCCCGCCCCCCCTCCCCTCCTCCTCCTCCACCATGATTTTGCTGAGCAGCTTCTTGCACCTTCGGCCTCGGCGCTGCGGCCCCTTCGCCGGGCTGGGCAGGGGAGTCGGCCCCGCAGCGGGGTCCCGCAGGGCTCTACGGGTGCTGGTGGACATGGACGGGGTGCTGGCCGACTTCGAAGGAGGCTTCCTCAAGAAGTTCAGGGCCAGGTACCCCGACAAGCCCTACATTGCCCTGGAGGACCGGAGGGGCTTCTGGGTGTCGGAGCAATACGGGCGCCTGGGACCCGAGCTGAGTGTGAGTCTATGCATCCATCCCCCCCTGGCTCCGCGCGTGGTTCTCCTCCCTGCCTCTCTGCAGCTGGAGCTCCGGCCCCATGGGACACCCACTGACCCCCAAACTCATGGGTGCAGCGCTGGGGAGGGCTGTGGGTGCTGGCCGGAGCTCCCACCGAAACACAGGTACAGGGCTTTCCAGCAGTGCCTTTTTTTTTTCCCCCCCGGAAATCCAGCATTATTTCATGCACATCTTGTCATTTTTTCCCTGCGTGCATGGTTGGAGATAAATACAAGGCAAGGAGATCTTTCAGAACATCTGTCTTAAAACACCTCAAATTGCATTGCTGGGTTTTTCTAGCTCGGGTTTGGCCAAGAAATGCACATCGATGCTGCTCCTGGATGCATTATTTAGTTCCTCAGCAGCAACGGGAGGGGTGGGACGTAGCAGAGAAGTTGAGAGCAAACCATGCAATTGGTGCTTCATGTGAGGGCTTACTTTTAAAACAAGCCTAAGCCCTCCCATGCCTGAAAATGATTGTATTCATTTTAATAATTAAAGCCTAAAAGCGGAAGCTCTCTTTATGTTGCTCTTTATCATTCAACAGAGGGCTGAGCGCTGCAGAAAGTCGGTTTCTGCCCCACACATCTCGATGGGATGTTTGTGGTCTTGTCTGTGGCTTGTAGTTGCACTAGTTGAAAGGTGTTACAGCAAATAACTTGTTTTTAGTGGTGTGATGGCTAGGAGGAAAGGAGCATGTGTAAGGTTTGGGGCTCTCCCAGTGGCAAAGTCCTGAAAAGCTTGACGAGCAGAGGGAATAACGTGTCCTCTCTAGCTGGGGTTGGTGAGAGGGAGATGGAGGACATAATTCATGCAGTTAAGGCAGATGCTAAAAGCTTGGCAGGGGGTAATGCATGGTGGCTCTTTATTTTTTCTTGATCTTAACTACTTTGGATGTGTTAAATGAAGTGAGTTCATCTTGTGTCTGCCTGTGATCACGTAAAATCACCACAACCTTGGGCTGAACAAGTAGCAAAACTTCCACAGATCAACCTCAGGACAGCCCTCATTTCACCTGTGGGTTCAAAGCTGGGATGAAGAGAGCAGGAGCCGCTCTGTGGCTACGGGCACATGGGCCATTCCAGTCCCCTCTCATCAGAGAGCACCATCAACCTGATATCAGAGACCAGAAAATAAGAGCCAAAGAGTCCCAACGAGCTGAAAGTCCCAGCTCTGAAAGGGAGAACAACATCTCAGCCAAAACACTGAGGATGCAGACCTGGCAGGATGGCGACCCTGAGCAGGCAGGGAAATTGCTCATGGGGAGAAAGAAGAAGGAGGAAATTGAGGGTCTGTCCTGGCACATGCTGGGATTCCCAGCCTGGGGGGTTTTTCCCTCTGCTGGGCAGCATGGTGCCTGCAGTTCTGCTGGGAGTTATTCTGGCTCTGGGAGCCGAGCGGGTCTTCAAGATGAGCTCAGCTCTTCCCCCATCGAGCTTGATTGCAAAATGCTTTTTGCCATAAGTGGAAGCAGAATAGCTACGGAAGTCCTTGCCGTAAGAAAACACTTCAGCGTGGTTTGAAGTGCTTTGCTGCATCAGGGCACGTTTCTCCAATGCCTCTCATGCAACTACAGTTGGTATCTTAAAAACAAAACATCATTCATTGCTCACCTCTCTAAAGCGGAGCAACTGGAGTTTGAAGGTTTGTCTGGCCCCGTGGCAAACTGTTAGGGTGGTGCCAGGAGGCATTTCTGCTGGCTTTCATGGCAAACTGTTAGGGTAGCTGTTCTTGTGGTGCCAGGAGGCATTTCTGCTGGCTTTCTTGTACCAAATCAGCATGTTTAATTTTGAATATATACAAAGAAGGTTTCTTTTTCCCCTTCTCTGAACCACGAATATTTTCTGCTTCTCAGTCAAAAGCGAAGAGTGCAACACTTGATCTGAGGACTCTTTCCTTTTAAGTTGGGTGTCTGGTCTTCTGGCGTTATCTGGGATTTTTTGAGAAATACAGGGCTTGATTCTGGCATGTCATGTTAAATGCTCAGCACCCAAATATGGAATGGGTTCATGCATTCACCTTCCTGAGAGCTGGCAAGGTGTGCAGCCAGCGTCTTGGCACAGGCAGCCAGCAGGATGAAGCAGAAGGTGACTCCCCGAGTGACCCCAGTGTTTGCTCTGGGGTGTTGCTTCCCCGAGCCTGGAGTTCCCAGTTGCTCATGGTTGCCTGTTTCTTCCCCTAGTATAGGTGTAGTAAAGACAAAACGTGGTGGTTACCCACTAGATTCCCACTCATCAGGCAGGAAGGAGCTGTGAGTCTAGCTGGTGTGTCCAACCAGCTGATTTGTAGCTATGAGCTTTAAGAATCATCATACAAACATCACCGAGGCTGTTCTCCCCAGCCCAATGCTCTGCCAGCTCCTCCATACTGTGCAAGTCAAGGAAGCCAGGTTGGGCTTAAAATTCCTCTTTGTCCCTATTCCCCTTCTTCAAATACAGAACCAGAGGTGCTCAAAATCAAGATCATTCCTTGGGGCCAGGCTCCCTTTAAAACTTCTCCCCTCCACAGTGGCCCAAACCCTTCCCTGGAGATGCTCTATTTGCCTGGTAGACCTTGCCCAGGCATCCCAGAAGTAGAGCATCTGCATTCATGCTGATGTGTAGTTCATCCTGTGATATACTTTCTCCTAAGAGAGCAGCCTGGCTCATACAAACATCACCGAGGCTGTTCTCCCCAGCCCAATGCTCTGCCAGCTCCTCCATACTGTGCAAGTCAAGGAAGCCAGGTTGGGCTTAAAATTCCTCTTTGTCCCTATTCCCCTTCTTCAAATACAGAACCAGAGGTGCTCAAAATCAAGATCATTCCTTGGGGCCAGGCTCCCTTTAAAACTTCTCCCCTCCACAGTGGCCCAAACCCTTCCCTGGAGATGCTCTATTTGCCTGGTAGACCTTGCCCAGGCATCCCTGAGGTAGAGCATCTGAATTCATGCAGATGTGTAGTTCATCCTATAATATACTTTCTCCTAAGAGAGCAGCCTGGCTGCTATTTTAAGTCGTCTGATTGAGACAAATAGGGCACACAGCATCTGTGGCTGATCAGCACCATGTTACAGCAGGGCTACCAGGCCACGTCAGCCAGATCCACATGGAAGTGCCCCTCTGGACGTGGAGCTGGGGTTTGGTTTGGTTCTGGACAATCTCTTGTGTTTTGCCTTGAAGGAACGTGCTGCTCCCTCTGTGTCAGGGGTTGCACAGGAAAAACCAAGCCTGCTCCAGAGCATCTCCAATCTGAATTGTATGGGATGGGTGGAGGTTGGCAGGTGGGGAACCGAGGCACCAACAGAGGCCGGGAGGGTTAGCAGGAGGGGACCAGAGCCAGAGCTCCCACCTTTCTCACTGTCACCATCCTCAGAGCAGGGAAGATGCCCATGCAAGGATAAGAGTAGCAAGAAGCCCTGTGCAGTAACTGCTCTCTTTCCCTTCACAGGAGAAAGCCATTAGCATCTGGGAATCCAAGAACTTCTTCATCGAGCTGGACCCACTCCCTGGGGCTGTAGAAGCTGTGAAGCAAATGGCAAATTTGGCAGAGTGAGTAGGAACCTGCCTGCGGTATCGGGAAACGGACGGGGGAGCAGCAGTGGCTTTGCAGGCTCATCCTCCTCTCAGTGGAAGCCATGAATACAACATGACTGTTAAAAATGCCTCCCAGCCCACCAGGAATAGGAGGAAAGAGAGGGCTTTGACTCCTGGAGCAGCTGTCAGGAAAATCAGCCCCTTCCCTTCAGCTCTCAGCTCCCAGCAAGGGAAACATGCCTGTGCTGCAGGTGTGGGATCCTGTGGGATGGGGGATGCTCAGGCACTGAGCAGGGTCTTGCAGAGACAGCCAGGTGTGTCTCCATGGCGAAAAGGGAAACATGCCTGTGCTGTGGGTGTGGGATCCTGTGGGATGGGGGATGCTCAGGCACTGAGCAGGGTCTTGCAGAGACAGCCAGGTGTGTCTCCAGGAGAGCAGGGCCTGATCAGCGTGTTTGGCCATGGATTGACACTCTGCCCCCGTTTCTTTCCTCATGTCAGCACCGATGTGTTCATCTGCACAAGCCCGATCAAGAAGTACCGCTACTGCCCTTACGAGAAGGTGAGCAGATCCGAATCCCAGCTCCCCGTCCCGTCCCACGCTGCCCAGCGAGAGCCAGCTGACCCTCACGTGTTTCCAGCTGTCAAACAGCAGCAATATTTCCCTGCTCTGCCAGTTTTGTTCCTAAGCATCTTCACAGAGTGGCAGCTCCGCTGTCAGCTGAGCTCTGCCATTTGCATGCACTGAGGCGCTTGGTTTTAATATTTCATGGTGATGTCAAAAGCTGCTTGGCTTTAAAAGAGCTGACGCTCCAGCAGCATCCCAATCCTTCCCACTAAAGAACTAATTAAATGAGAGGTCCTCCCTGCATGGAGGCCAGGGCTTGTGCAGGGCTGTGCCCCGTCCATTGGCCCCCCCGGCGTTCACCGCTCACCCCTTTGCCTTCCAGTACGCCTGGGTGGAGAAGCACTTCGGCCCCGAGTTCCTCGAGCAGATCGTGCTGACACGAGATAAGACAGTGGTTTCTGCTGACCTGCTCATAGACGACAGACCCGATATAACAGGTAAAGCAGGTGCGGGGTGGCAGGAGTGACCAGAGACAGCCCCAAGGGGCAGATGGCATCAGGGGACTGGTCGTCAGTCCCTGCCTGGCTGATTAGGCTCTCATTAGGGGGTGTCCGCAGGGTTCTCGTGTTGGAGTAAGGTCAACCTCTGCATCTCGTGGAGGAGTTGTCTGGAGAGTCAACCTTTCTGCTTGCTTTGCAGGGGCTGAGCTGAACCCCAGCTGGGAGCACGTGCTCTTCACCGCCTGCCACAACAAGCACCTGCAGCTGAAGCCCCCCAGCCGCAGGCTGCACTCCTGGACCGACGACTGGAAGGCCATTCTGGACAGCAAACGCCTGCCACCCGGCCGGGCCACCTAAACCCCCGCCTCCTGTGGCCACCCAGGGCTGTAGCCACCCACTTATCACCCTGTGGAGTCCTACTGAAGGCTGAAACCCCAGATGGACAGACGGACGGATGCTGTCCCTGCTGCGGAGAGGAAGAGGAGGAGGATCTGAAGTGCCACGGCCACCTGTACCCAGGGCACGGACCCCAGCCTGGCTGTGCCACAAGGGACTGGCAGCAGGATTGGCCCCATGGGCCTGGCAGCCCAGCCAGGGGACAATTCTCCCCAGTTCTGGGGGTCCCTGTGCTGCATCTGCACCCCCCAGGAGGACAGCCTGGCATTTCTGACAGACGAGGTCACTCTCAGCATGTCACTGCCCTTGTCCAGCGCACCACGTGGCACATGCCAGCTCTCCATCCTCCTCTCTGTGGTGCAGCTGGGGGTTACTCGGGTGGTTTGTTGCATCCTCACAGGGCTTCATACCAAGGGGCTGCCTTGGGGGACGTTTTTCTCCTGGCCAGCACCCAGGTCTGGGAAGAGGGGTGGCTGGAAGGGCAGGGGGAGCTAGTGGATGCTGCCCAGGCCGTGCTGTTCCTTGCAGCCCATACAACAGGATGGCTCCATGCTTCGCTGCAGGAAGAGTCCCTGCAGCAGGATACGGGGACAGCACCACTCCTCCAGTGGATCTGGAGGCCATGGGGAGGGAGCCCTGAGGCACCGTCACATCTGAGGAGCTGCCATAGCTTTAGAACTGGTGCTTTAGAGCGGATTTGGGATGAAGAGAGAGGCTCTTCTCACACACATTCATTGCTCGCAAGCTGCTCACCCAGGGCATCGCTGGCACAGCGAGCAGGCAGTGGCAGTGCCAGCATCACACCTTCCCAAGAGCCGGGCAGCTCCTGCAGGAGATCATGGCTCACCCTGCCAGACATTGATCGGACGGTAGCTCCTTGGAGTTCAAAGCCAGGGAGGTCTGCACATACAAGTTCACGATCAAAGCGCCCCATCTCCCTTTTCCTGGTAGTGTCCGACATCAGCCTGACAGGAAAGCTCTGGGTGTGCGTCTCCTGGGCACCCTGCTTCCACGCAGAAGGTCCTGGGTGCTGCCCCCCACCACGGTTGGTCAGTAGGATGGTTGATGCCGCAGACCATCTGGAAGTCTTCAGTGTGAAGCCACCAGGGAGGACACTGCTGGGTGGAGAAGCAGGGCTGGTGGAGGAGCTACGGCATCACCGAGAAGTGGGCAAAGCAGAGGAACCTGAATTATCCAAGAGGCAGGTTGAGGGTTGCGTTGATGGAGGATTGTCACAACCACGTCTGTGGATGCTGTTTTCAGTCCTTGAGTCCCACAAGGGGAGAAGTTGGAGAGACATTGCTGTTGAAGGCTGAGGAGCCCATCAGAGGTGCCCACGAGGCCGTTAGTTTGTTCTGCAGCTTCCTGCAGCTCCACTTCTGTCCCAGCTGTGGACATGTGGGGACAGACCATGCTGCCGGCCCCACTCACCCCTACAGCGAGGTGTTTGGCCACCTGCCTGGTGCCGAGGGGCTGTGGCACGTACAGATGTCCATAGCAGCTGCCACCTCTGGGTGACTGTGCTGGGGCTGCTGAGTTCTGCGAGTGGCCAGTGCTACTGGGAAGATTGAACTGCAGGGACCTGTCTGGAACTGGCAGCAGCACCAGAAAGCAGCTGCGGCAGCTTCTCCTCCACCCTGCCCCAGAGAAGAGCCATCCCAGCTGCTGGGGAGAGCCGGGCCAGTGCTGGGCTGCCCCAGGCAAAGCCCCGGGGACACGTCAGCTGCGTCAGGGCCGGCGTGCGTCTGCGTCACTGCTGACACCGGGGAGGCCACATGGACCCTGCTCCTGCCCCCACACCCTCCAGCATCCCACCGCCCGCTCCTGCTCTCCTGGCCCGAGGACTCCCTGGCTGCGGGAGTGAAATTCCCCACTTGGACACATAGCCCCAAGGGCCAGGGCTTGGCTGGGGTCAGCCACCCCACGCTGCTTGCTCAAGCCTTTGGCTGGCCTCTCTTCTCTCCAAAGGGCCCCCATCAGCAAAAAACTATGTGAGCTCAAAGCTACATAGCTAACAAATAACATATTTCAGCAGCAACAGCCGGTGTGTCCCCCCCGGCCCTCCATGCCCGGGACCTGGAGGGGCTACTGAAGTCGGTGCTTCTGAGTCTGTGCCTTCCCTGGCTGCTGTGGGGCCAGGGACAAAGCCCACGTTGTCTTGGGTCTTTCTGAAAGCTGCCCCATCTCTTGGGACGGGGTGGTTGCGTAAAGACAGCACAGTTTGGCCTGAGGGGTTGGGAGTTACGTACCACAAGGTTCTGTTGGGGGGGGGGTTTGTTTGGTTTTTTTTTTCCTGTTTAAACCACTGCTTGCTTCTCCAGGTGGTAGGAGGTTTGGTTTGGGGAGGTATTTGGGGGGGGCGTTTGCAATGTGCAGCCCACTGAGGTGCAGCCCCCTGGCCAAGAGGGTTTGCAGGTGGGGAGCTGGGACAGGGAATGACCACTGTGGGCAGCCACTACGGTTGCTGAGCATCACCTACCCCTCAGCTCCGCCGCAGCCCTGCTGGCCCCTTCCTGCAGCTGGGATGGCCTCATGGGGTCTGAGCTGGGGGCACCATTTAAACACGAGTTGTCCAAGCTCTCCAGGGCCTTCTCGCTGCCCATCCTCGAGCCAAAACTGGATCCGGCTTGTCATTACTGCAGCTTCCCAAACCAGCCACCTTCCCTCAAGCTTGGGATGGACCCATGGGATGTGGCTCTCTGAGGGCCAGAGGGTCTTTCCTCTTTGGTGGGACACGTGATGCAGTAGAGACCACGTCGGTTCATGCCAAATATACTTGAAAGTAGAGCTGGAGTTTCTCATGCCCAAGGCTCTTACTCGACGCACAGAAATCCCAGGAGGTAGCTGGCCTGTTTGCTCCTGCCCAGGTGGCTCTCCATCGCCCGACACACCGGCCCTTTCGATGTCCAAACCCTTCTGTGGCCAGCTAAGATGCACAGAGCTTTTGTTTTTAAATGCACATCTATAAAAGTGAGGCCGATGAGGAGCACTGCAATAAACACTGGGTTTTGTTGGTGTCCAGCTTTCTAGAAACGAGGTTTGGGGTTTGCAGTTTCCCCTCTGTGTGGGGATGGGGGGGGGGTTCAGCTGTGGGCTTGGACAAGTCCTCATGTCCCAAAAGCATGAAACTAGCCCCCAGCAGTGCCATTACCCCATTAGACAGAGTCCCTGTGGGCAGAAATAAGGGTGGGTTGAGGTAGCGATCAGCTTCCTAACGATCTTTTATAGTAAATAAACCCATAAAGCGTGTCTCCTGTTGGGCCACAGAGCAAAAGCAATAAAAGGGGCTGGCACTGTCATGGGCTGGCTCTCCCCGGGATTTTGTACCTTGTCCATTGCTGTGGGCTGGTCCCCATCCACGTGCGCTGGCTGCGAGGTGTCCGTAGGCTTCCTCTGCCCTCTCTGGGTGACGTGTGCCATGGATGACCCATCTCCTCAACTGGCACTTGCACGCTGTAAGTGGTGTCATAGCCCTGCCAGACATGCAGGAGCGAAGGTGGGGAGGGAGGACTGCAGGACCATCCCAACAGGGCCAGGAAGATCCCCATTTGTGGATTGGACTCTGGGGAAGGACACCCCAGCCAGGCAGTGGCCCGTGCTGGAAGTTCCAGCTCCCCAGAGCAATGCCATCCTTTCCCCAGCACAGGAACAGAGGACACCAGTCCCAAGCTGGAGCTGCCACAGTGGTGACACTGGGGACAGGGCCATGTCTTTCACAGCAAAGGATGGAGCAAAGTGAAGGAACCGCATCCCCACCAGCCTGGCAAGGGCTGGCAGAGCATCATGGACCTCTGGCACGCAGCTGACCTGCAAGTCTGTGTCTGCTCCTCCATGTTCTCCTGTGTGCCTTTTTTTAACTTGAAAAGCCTTAGGTCGCAGATATTTGGTACCTTCCAGGTGACAAGAACAGTTTCCAAGGCAGGTGGAGGTGCAGAGGAGGGGGAAGGAGGTGGTGGTGACCTGGACCTAGCCCTGTGGTCAGGGGCCAGTGATGGTGGGAGCCTTCGTACCCTTCCCATGCTGCTGGGCAAAGGTGGTCCTGGCCAGAGCAGCACTGCCGGCTGTGGAGGAAAGGATGTCAAAAGCAAAGACACCATCTTTATCATGTAAGCGCTGCCCTCAGCTGCCCAAACTCCCTGGAAGAGTTCTGGGAAGTTTGGATGCCCTCCTGGCAGCTGTTTCAGCCACACCTGAAACCCCTCAGCCATCGGGAGTGGGATGGGGGTGCCAGCACCCAACCCCCTTAGGGAATTCACCCCGAGAACAGCCCGATTCACCCCAATCCAAGCTGGACCAACTTGCAGGACCTGGCAGGGTGGGAGCAAGCGATGCTCACACCCGGATCCCTGGGAAGTTGTCACCACGTGGGTGTTCGTTAGCTCTTTCTCACGTTGGCCGATGCCCAAATAACTCGGAGCCGATGCGAAGCCCAGCGAAGGGGGAGAGCGAGGGCTGCAGGGGCCAGCCCTGACGCAAGAGCGGCGGGTGGTGTGGGACAAAGCCAGGGCAGGGGACGGCGGGAGGATGAGTCACTCAAACACGCAGGAGGGGAAGGAGGGGACGCAGTGATGGCTCGGCCCATGGTGGTGGCTGGACAGGGCTTTGCTTCCACATGGTCCACCTGCCCCATTTTGGGAGAGAAGGGATGGTGGCCCGGGGTTGTGCTCAGGGCCAGGGTCTGGAGCCCAGCGTTGGGTAGGACAGCTGTGTCGATGCAGGAGAAATATCCACTAGAGGGGACTGTGCGATCACATGTGGGAGTGCATCAGCCAGCCTGGCCACAGAGCTGGATCCAGCTCCTCCAGCCCCAGGACCAGTCCTCCATCCTCCCTCCAGCCTTCAGCCCTCCTGCTTACCCCAGCCCAGGCTCCCAATGCCCCCCGCATCCCTCCCACCAGGCACCGCAGCCTGGGGGGCACAGCTTACCTGGGGGTCCACTCTCTTTTGGGGGTACAGAGAGAGGGGTTGATGCTGCAGGCGCTGGGGAAATGTCTTGGGCTGGACCCCACAGCAAAGCCCCCACCCAGCCGCTCACTCACACACCCCCACAGTGGGATGGGGAGAGAACGAGAAGGGCAAAAGCATGAAAAACTTGTGGGTTAGAAGAGGAACTGGGGGTCTGTAGGGTCCATATAGAAAAAATACACAGGCTATGGCCCCCAGCAGCACAGTGCATCCCCCCCTTCTCCTCCTCCATGCCCCACTGCTCAGCTCTGCCCCCACTCCCCCCCAGGACCCCGCAGCTCTCCCAGGGCTGTGACTGTTCATCCTGTCCCTGTGAGCCTGAAATTCCCCAAGGACCCAGGGGAATTTGTTTTCCTCCCGCCCACCCTGAAGCCAGAGCCCGTTGTGGGGGGCAGAGGGGGAGCAGAGCCACCAGTGGCTAGGACGGGTGGAACTGGGGAGGTTTCTGGCTGTTCCCTCTCACCCTCCTCTTCTCCCCCAGCACCACAATATTGTTTCCCTCCTGGTAGGATTAATGGGGCTTTGCTTCTCCTGTGTTTTCCTCTCTCTCACCCTGAAGCCGGAGCCCATTGTGGGGGGCAGAGGGGGAGCAGAGCCACCAGTGGCGAGGACGGGTGGAACTGGGGAGGTTTCTGGCTGTTCCCTCTCACCCTCCTCTTCTCCCCCAGCACCACAATATTGTTTCCCTCCTGGTAGGATTAATGGGGCTTTGCTTCTCTATTTGTACACAAGGACTCAAGTAATGCACTCCCTAGAGAGGAATTAAGCTTCCCTTGCCCCAGCAGTGCTGGGGAGGCCAGACCAGAGCCCACGGTGATGGACTGCATCTGCTTTCCTGTGTCCTCCAGGGCTCCACACACGTTAACCCTGTCCTCCTGGCAGGGATCCTGCAAAATGTTTGTGACTGCGTTAACAAACACGCTTGTGGAACATTTTGTTGTGTTGAGACGTGAGCGTGCCCACCCTCTCCCTGCCTCCCTGGGGCCAGGCCCATGGGCGATGTGGGGCCATGGCTCATGGCTGCCAAAAACCGGCTGCTGCTGACGCTGCACCCACGGGCACCCCCGGGACCGGCAACCCCGAGCACGAGGACGCCTCGCCTGCCATTCCCACCAACCACCAAACCTGCCAGGAACGTCCCACCAGCAGCTCCTTCCTGGAGGCTCCCAGCTCACAGTCCCGGAGCAGGGATGCAGCCAGGGGAAGGGTCTGACCACCATCTCCAACATCCCTGGTGTTCTGCAGCCAGCGGGGCGCTGACACAAGGGCTGTGGGGATCCCGTCCAACTCCATAAATACCTGTCATAGGGGAGGACACTGGTGTCAGGCCACTCTGTGGGCAGACAACCATGGAGCTGAGCTTGCACACCCCACTTCCACGGCCACCCTCAATGGGTCTGAGCCCATCCCCATCCCCAGATCCCTCACCCACACATGCTGGTGCTCCCAGAATGGAGAGGGTGCTATGAGGACATGATGCCACTCCTCTCCCAGAACAGACTCACCCTGAATACGTAATGTTTTAGACTCTAACTTGCCAGAATTTGGGGAAAACTTGCCTTGGCTGTGATTGGGTCAATCCACCAGTCCCAGAGTCTGGTTTCAGCATCCCCAGGTATCCAGGACTGGAGCTGTATCTGGATTCTTGAGATCTAGAAAAGGGAAATTAACTACAGCAACTGAAAGGCTGTTAGTGGGATATCAGGTGAGGACACTTGAGGGTCTGTGGAAACATACCTGGCTGTCCCCAAGCCCCACAGATCCCCTGTGACCTGCTCGGTGCCTGTGGCACATTTCCATCATGCCAGCACCTGCACTGCCTTCAACACTTCCACCTCTACCTGTGATGGTGGTGATGGCAGTGAGTCATCCAGCAGCTCCCAGGATTGCTCCAAAATGCTGGCGGACTTGGGGAAATTCCCAAAGGTGCTGGGAGATGTGGCGGGTGCAGCTGTGGATGCCGGGAATTAGCCTCTGTTTGGTAAAGGGGAGGTGAGAGGGGTCCCACTGCGTATGCTGGGGGATGCACCAGGACTGGGGGCAGCTTGTGCTGCACGGGGGGAGGATTTCCTAGGAGAAGGGATGGGAAAGGCAGGGACCCGCTGCACTTAGTGCTGCAAAGCCACCTGCACACAGTGTTGGTGCCACCCGAGCCAGGCTCAGTGCCACCACTGCCGTATCGCTGCTGAAGGCACCAGCTGGGAGCAGCCAGTGCCTGCTCCCAGCCAGCTCTCGGTGGGACTGGGATCGCTGGCACCCGTGTCACCCTTAACAGCACCCTGCCTGCCTGCACAAGGCTTTTGGCCAAGCACCAGCTGGGAACCACCTGGCTCATCACCCCAACCCGGAAGCCAGGCTCAGTGCCACCACTGCCATATCGCTGCTGAAGGCACCGGCTGGGAGCAGCCAGTGCCTGCTCCCAGCCAGCTCTCGGTGGGACTGGGATCACTGGCACCCGTGTCACCCTTAACAGTACCCTGCCTGCCTGCACAAGGCTTTTGGCCAAGCACCAGCTGGGAACCACCTGGCTCATCACCCCAACCCAGCGGGGGCTGCTGGGGATGAGCTGTGCCTTGTCCTGCCAGGGGGCCCTGCCAGGTAATGACTCCATCAGCCCCGAGGAATCATCACAGGGAGCCAGTCCCTGAAGGTTTTCAGGTGTTACCACCCCCTCCTCTTGGAGGCATCGCCTTTGCTCTCCATCCCAGACCCCCTCCAGGGCTCCTGGCATCCTCTGGAAAAGCAAACTCATGCCTTGGATGCCTATTTTATCACAGATTTTCTCTTTCCAGCCCAGCAGCGCGGTCTCACAGCTGTGCTTCCTGCTCATCCATCTTGTACACATCCTTTTTTATCCTGGGGAAAGTGCTCCCAGGCTGGCTCCTAGGGAAAGGCACTGGTGCAGGTGGCAGCCGCAGCCTGGCCAGGCACAGCCCCTCGACACAGCTCAGGACACCAGCACTGCCATGTCAGAACCACTTCACCCTTGCAATGGGGCTCTCTCTGAAGATGCCAGTTTGTTCTCTGCAAGATATACCAGCCTGCGAGGAAA